AGGCCATGCAGGTCTAAGCTATCAAATGTACAGGTTTGTATAAAAGCCAAGGATGGGGATGGGCCAGGCAAATTCCAAGCAAAAACCAAGCAGAGGCAAGCTGTGCCAGGCTAGATTGCAGTACCCACCCACACATTTAACACATGCAGGGAGGGACGATCCCCTTGGGGGGGGCAGCAGGGGCTCCCCTGTTGGGCCACTCATCCTGCAGCTCAGTGTGAGAACTGGGATCCAGGGAAGACCAGGCAGGGTCAGGTTACAAAACTGACAGAAAGATGGACTTGGAGCTGGGCAAGACTGAAACTCCCAGATCCCAAAGTGGGATGCCAACCTTCTTATAGAACAGCCAACGGTACTTTGTTTAGTAGAGTTCTGCTGGTGACATATTGTCTGGATTCCCTAAGTTTTCATTGATCTGAAATATATTTATTTGATTTTATTTCTAGAATATTTTTGTGAATATGGAATTTGACACAGATGGAGTTTTCATTCTGTTTTCTTCCTCTTTTGAGATTGCCTTTCATAAAATTTCAGTGCCAGTGAGATTATTGCTATCCTATATATAAAGTGTGGTTTTCCCCTGATTACTTTCTGATTTTCTTTTTTATCCTTAGATTTCAGAAACTTTACTGTGTTGTGATCTGGAATTTTCTGAACTTTTTTAAGTCACAAATTTATATTTGACATGAAAGTATGCAAATTTTACCCAATATTCCTTGACTTTCTACAATCTAAGGAATTTAATACATTAGAATTTCTGATCATAGCAATATATAATAGTCATGTTAATTTGATGTTACCACAAAGAGAACAGATTTAGTAATAAAATTTTTTTAATTAATTAATAAGTAAAAAATGTGTATTTAGGTTCAGGAATGTGTTAAATCATATCAGACAAAATGTTTAAGCTCTGCATCTCAGGTTTTCCATATTTAAAATGAACAAACTAATATTACTCATATGACCACCATGTTCATTAAATAACTAAGAAATTGAAATGCAAACGTAAAATATACAACATAAGTGCTTGTTAAATAAACTTTGTCACTTAATACATAAAATAGGACTTCTTTTAGTTCTCCTTTTTTTTTCTCTCCCTCCATCTTACTTTTGATATCCCCAATTTATTATTAAACTAACTGAACCTAAGTCATTTGTTTAAGGTGCTAATTTAAAAGCAAGATAGCAAGGATCTTACCCTTGCTTTTCTTAACTCAGATTTTTTTTTTTTTTTTTTTTACTATCGACTGGGAGGGATTCAGTAGTCTGGAGACATTTTTGTCACAGTTGGGAGAATTTTCTTCGAATCTACTGGGCAAAATACAGCTTCTCGCTGAACATCTTATAATGCACAGAAGGAATTTCCAAAACAGCGATTACCTGGCTCTAACTGTTAATAGTTTTGCTACACAACATACAGGATATCAATTGGATTTTGGTTTTAGCAAACAAATATTTAATATGAACATACTGAGCATTTAGATAATTATGTTTTGGTTAGTATTTTGAATATGTTTGAGCCTTATATTTTTGTCAAATTTAGTTATCTGTAAAATGCTTCATAAACTCCTGTAAACTGGCACCACAGGAAGTTGTCACACTAATTTTGAGAAAAATGTGTCTCACAAAAGGGATATTATTTGCTCATGATCAGGGTGCTTGAAAGCATCAAAAGTAGGCCTCAATACAGGAATCTTATATGTTCTAGAACAATGGCAATTTTATACATTCTATCAGACTTTGCTTTATTGATGTAGAAATTTGGAACATGGTTATGACTAAAGTGAAAAGAAAAAAGACTGCTAACAGATAGAAAATGATAGAATTTAACACCTTCATCCACTGCTCATTGGAAGCAAGGGTTGAGGCTGTGTCCGCGGAGGCAGTGTAGCAGGTATTCTGAAGCACCTGAAGTGCCACACACCAGCCTGACACTCTCCTAGAGTGCTTTTATAATTGAATTCTGTGCATTTATGTTCAGATGTAGGCTGAGGTCAAGGAAAGACATGATTTTGCATGTTTTATATTTTCTCTTTCAGTAAGGTTGTTGATGGGATTATGTGGCGCCAAGGAGTTCATGTGTGTGAGAGGTGGAATGTGTGTGTATAAGGGAGAAATAGAGAGCAAACGCTGCTTCCCAGACCCCCATATGATACAATCATTTGATGAGTAGCAGGTAACTAGGTCATGCCTGTCTGTCTGTTAACATGAAAAGGATCTTTCAGACAACAGGTCTACCTCTGGTGGGAAGTCCTCTAAGGATGTGAGCTGGAGACGATAAGCTTGAAGGTTTAGTAACACATAAAACTGATTTAATTTTAAGCTTAGCAAGATGATGTTGAATTTTACTCCCTCACACTTTTATGAAAAAGAATCCTGGGAGATGAAAAAGGAGGCTGTCACGCAAAGCAGGCTTGCACATACATGAACAAGCCTGACCTGCGTTGTACCTCACCTGACAGGAAGAGCTTGTTTGCTGTCAGGATTTTTTCCCCTGCCTTATAAGAACAGAGCTGCGGCAGCCATGGCTGGTAAGTTTCTAGAAGATATATTTCAGAGAATGATAGTGGCTCAAATGCATGTGTTGGGTCATTCTGTCTACTGAACTCCAGATCATTTGTGTGAGCCATGTTTAGCTAGAGAAAAACAAAAGGGCCTGACGCCCTGCTCTGCTTTCTCCCGGGATCTGTGCTGGAAGCCTCCTGGGAGGGGAGCTTCAGAGCCACAGGACCGGTTGGCCTGGCGTTTCAAAGATTATCGTTCCAAGACGATATCTGACTCTTTCTTTTGAAGTTTGTGAACTGAATACTTAAATCTCTAAACATGACTGAGATTCGGAATATGCTTAGGAGAACTGCATGGGCTATTGCCCCTAAGTTAGAGGGATGAAAATGACAGGATCGGAATTGCCTTTGATTTCTGTGGACACGGCCATCAAAGCGGTAGTACAGGTAGGTCTCTTTGGACACTACTTGGCAAATCACGAAGCAGCGGAAGAATGGTTTGTTGAGATTTTGCTTGATAGAAACTTTGAGGCAGATGTCTTTGACCTCAAAAGGTTACAATAGAAGCAGCATTTTTTTTTTCACAACAGCTGACCAATGAAGAGGAAATAAAGAAAACACAGAGCCCCAGCTATTGCAGTGACATAATCATATTTCCTATGTTGAATATCAGTTTCAAAGTTATTTTGTTTCCTACAGATAGGAGATTAAAGGAAAACAGGAAATTCTTTGTTGACTCTGTATCTGAGGACACACTTCACAACTTGCTGGATGATGTATTACAAGAAAAAGTGCTGAACCAAGAGGAGATTGAAAAGGTGAAAAAAGAAAATATTACCACCATAGCCAAGGCTCGTGACTTGATTGATTCCGTGATTTGCAAAGGTTCTCATGCCTGTCAAATATTTATTGACCACATGTGCCAGAGAGATTCCAACCTTGCTAATAAGTTGGGATTTTCTTCAGGTAAGATTCCTAATTTCTCAAAAATAATATTAGCAGTGATTAAGACTTAGTTTGGCAAATGGTAGGAATTTATGGATGATGATATAACATTTTGGCTACTAAACTCATCACAGAATGATTAACTCAGAAGACATAATAGCTGTTACTGTGCATACTATTTTTTATTAGAATAGTTCAAATCTACAATATGTTATTAAGATAGTCATCTTGTCAACGCCATTTAGTGTTTCTCTGCACTTGTCCTTATATCTTGCTTCTATTTTCTTATTTGTTTTCCAAATAATAAATGAGTCAGCACCTCTTTCCTCTGACACGTCATCACGGTCAGGCTTCCAGTCACACCGACCTGATCAATCCAGTTCTCATCTGTATTGCTCCTCCACAGTTCTCCCGGATACCTGCTTCATGTTCTGACTGCATTATATCATACCCTTGTTTTTTAAACCCTATTTCTATTTGAGGATTAAAATTCAGTCATATTTCATTATTTCATAAGTTGGAAGACCATTCTAATCTCTTCTGGCAAGTAGGGTATAAACAACTATACTGCTTTTGACATTAGGACCTTTTGGTTCATGATGGTTCTTGTGACTCAGTTAGAAAACATCTTCCTTTCCCTCCCATTTATTTCTTTACTTTATACACACTTTTTCATTTCTCTGTCCATGTGTCTACCTCTAAAATACAGTTTCCATTACACAGTTACTGTATATCCCCTCAAATGAAAAGCCACAAAACAAACAGGAAGAGAAAAAAACAAAGAAATTAACAACACCATGAAGTTAAATAACATGCTACTGAATGACTAATGTGTTGTTGAAGAAATGAAAAAGAAAATCAAGAACCTTCTTGAAAATAATGCTACTCTATGATCTACAAATCACTGAAGAATTTAATCAGAAGGTGTTTTGAAGAGATGAAACTAACAAAAAAAACAATATCCATGATACAGTTTCCGTTGATCTTTATTGGTGAAATGTGTCTCCGGTAGGCAAAAAATAGATGGGTGTTATTTTTTAATTCAGTCTACTAATCTATGACATTTGCTTGATGAGCTTAAGCAGTTTACATTCAGGGTTAATACAAACATGGTAATTTGATCTTGTTATTTTAGGAATGGGTTGTTCATTGATTTAGTCTTCTGTTGTCATTTTACCTTATTAGAGGAGAAACACAGCCCAAGCATTTGTGTTGTAAATTGAAAGACATAAAAGGGCATTGCTTATACAAAACTGTAATCCATGTTAGTTGTTCTAAAGGATAGCCATGCTACCCTTATGAATTAGACATTTAATTTAACAAACATGCTTACTGATCTCCTAGAATTGAGGTAGTTTGTTTGAGTTTAATTATATGTTTCTTTTTCTTCTAGAATTCATGACAGAATAATACACTTATTTCTGCATATTAAGCAGGTATCTTTCTCAAGCTGATCACAATTTGTCTCTATTAACCTCACATCAGACCAACTCACAATTCTTAAACAGCTGAGATATGTTCTTACAAAGATCACTTTTACCCTCCAAGAGAATGAGTACTGCTTGCTCTGATGTGTACCAAGGTTATAAAAGGATGGAACCCAACCAGTATACCAGCTACCACAACTCTTGTTATGCTGCTGTTTTTTTTTTTTTAAGAAATCCTTGCAAAAAACGATGCTAGAGAAAAAGACACACCATCTGCAGAAACTGCAGGCCTGATCAAACTTTGTCCTCGTGAAAAGTTCCTGGAAAAATGCAAAACAGCAGCTGGAAGGGTGAGAGAGTTAATAAACAGATTGGGTGATAAATTGAAGTGATAAGATTGTATACGCAGGGGCTGGCATTGTGGCAAGCAGGTTAAACCATCCTTGGAACATCAGTACCACACACTGCATATAGGTTCCAGTCTAAGCCGCTGCACTTCCAATGTAATGTAGTTCCCTGCTGGGAAAACAGCAGAAGTTGACAGTTAGACTCCTGCCATCCATGAAGGACCTCTAGATGGAATTCAGGAATCCTAAATTTATCCAGTCAAGTATTGGCTGCTGCAACCTTTTGGAGTAGAAACGAGAGAATGGAAGATGTCGTATGTATGTATGCATGTATCCACCTTTTTAATCTACGTATCTATCTATCTATCTATCAAACTACGTTCACCCTCTCTGTCACCCTGCCTTTCAGAATAGATCGATAGATCTCTTTAAAGTTCCATACACACAAAATGCAAAGGGGACCTGAGAACGATGGTATCTTTTCTGGCAGATAGTTTCAAGGTATAAGAAGAAAAATTTAAAATGAGATAATAAATTGTTAATTTTTTTAAAAGATTTACTGTTCTTTACTGGAAAGGCAGATTTTACAGAGAAATGGAAACATGGGAAAAACATCTTCCATCCACTGATTTGCTTCCTAAATGGCAGCAATGTTCACAGCTGAGCTGATTCTAAGCCAGGAGTGTCTTCTGGGTCAACCATGTAGTTGAACATTCCCAAGGACTTGAGGCATCTTCTGCTGCTTTCCCAGGCCATAGAGAGCTGGATTGAAATGGAGTAACTGGGCCAACCAGCACACATATGGAATGCCAGCACTTGTAGATAGAGACTTCACCACTTGAACCACCATGCCAGCCCCACTACTGATGTTACGCTACATTAGATATTGTTGTTATGTATATGGATGTGTATAGACATATATAAACGTATATTGTAATACAGTTATGGTAAGTGGAACAAAGGCTTAGTCATAATTTGCATGGACTAAAGTAGGTGGGGAATGTATTGAATGTTTAGGGAATTGGGGATTGGTCTTAGATATTAGAGAAGGTTTGAATAAATGGAAGGAAAGAAGAAGAAAGAGGAGTACTCTAGTTCACTCTACAAGGTCATTCACAAAATAACCCGTATCTGTTACACATCATTGTGAGGTTTTGCTTTTCTAGTCAGTCTGTGAAACAATCTAATGTTTATTCATTTATTGAAAGGATGGCTAATTATGCTGTAAACAGTGAGAAATAATGTGATTCAATTATTCTTCTTCCAATGCATTTCACTTGTCTTTATTTTGTAGATCTATCCAATAAGAGAGAAACAAGACCGCACTCGCCTAGCCCTCATCCTCTGCAACACAGAGTTTGACTATCTTCCAAGACGCAATGGGTCCATCCATGACATCCTGGGGATGAAAGGTCTGCTTGAGGCCCTAGACTACACAGTGGAAGTGAAAGAGAATCTCACAGCCACAGTAAGTGCCCCTCCCTTGTGCAGCACATGACTATAATCTCTAACAAAGGATTGACTTTAGGAGACATGAATTTAATTTATCTGGTACTTATTTTATTCAACTTTGAAATGAATAAGGTTAAAGCTAGTTTCTATAAGTGCCTATATCTCTTTTGACTGGTAGATACACACACATATAAATATATATATATATATATTTATATATGCATGTAGCTATAGACATTTATAGACATAAATGCACTCATATTTGCATGTATGTAGGGTTAATTTTAAGCCACAATTTGTCATTTCATGCAGTATGCATACATATATGTATACACACATTTTGATCAATGAGTAGAATGCTATAGAAGGTTTTTACCCAAGAAGCATTGCAGTTAATGAGGACATAGTCACAGACAGAATTTTGGCAATATAAAGGGGTGTGGTAATCCCTCAAACAAAATTCCATGCTTTGCAGCATTTGCTGTCTAGTAACCTTACCATTTGCTGTCTAGTAACCTATAATAATTCTAATTTATTATTTGTGATTATTATTAATCTCTTCAAAATCCAAAGTATATCTTAAACTTTATAAGTGCATATGACAGAATTTCAAAAAACACATGGAAAGTGAAATTGAAACATCAATTTACTTTGGTGTAAAATTTATAATTCATGTATAAATTTTTAATAGGCACTTCATAAACTTTTTGACATCTTTTCAAATATATGCATTTAAAAAATTTAAACCAAACTGTTTAATTCCTTTTTTTTTCAGAATATTATATTGTAACCCTTTTTTTGTAAAGAAAATGTAGTTTATACACATACTCTTTGATACTTCAGGGTGTTAGCATCCACTGGAGGTCTTTAACAATAACTTACTAGAAAAGGAAGAACTAATGCATCCTTATCCTCTTCATTTTTCTCCACTATAGTTCCTACCAGTATTACTTACTGGTCAAATCATACATGCATGGTTGACAAGAAAACAAAATTGGTATAATCCATTGATCAACAAAACAGGAAAGACAGGGCTTGAAATAGACGTAGGGAAGTAAAAATGAAAAAAGGAAACAAAGACATACGAAAGTGACATTAAGGAATATGACAGTCATAAGCATAAGGAATCCACACCTCTGAAATACACAATTTATATTGTGTATAAACAAGGAAGGGACTAGTTCGGAAATGAGGATATCAACAAATGCTTTCAGCTCCACAAAACATATATATTAGTAAATTACAGTTGATTTTGGTTGTTATCCATCCTTCAGCCAAACCTGTAACAGGAAGCTGTGGATGTGGCTAACTGCAATTACAGTCTATCTTGTTTTAGCAATAATGGGCAAAGGTATTTTATCTCCCAAATTTGGACTGTGGATGGCCGATTTTGATCAACGGATGCCTTTGTTTCAAGCCTCACTCAATGAAAAAGTTCCCAAAACATTAAAATGAGCTGCAATTTTTTTTTCAGCTATTCAAACATGTTGACAGCAGAGTGGAATTTAGCAGGCCAACACACATGCTAAAGCTCAAAAAAGACTTGAGTGGTCCAGTGTGGTAGCCTAGTGGCTAAATCCTCACCTTGCAGTCTCTGGTTCATTTCCCCCACTGCTTTATTTCCCATACAGCTCAATGCATGTGGCCTGGAAAGCAGTGGATAGTCCAAAGCCTTAGGACCCTACACACACTTAGGGAACCCAGACGAAGCTTCTGGCTCCTGGCACTGGATCAGATTAGTTTCCGCCATTGGGTACTTGGGGAGTGAATCAGTGGATGAAAATTTTTCTCTTTGTCTCTCCTCTCTGTAAATATGATGACTTTACAATAAAAAATAAATAAATAAATTTTAAAAGAAAAGAAAAACAATGGGAGAAGTTGAGAACTTGAGAAGACCTCAGCCTTCCTTTTTGGCTGGTGCTTGGTATACAGGTACATTAAAAAGGATTAAGCAGGAGTAGGAACTGTAGCCTTGGCAGGTTTGAGGGATTGAAATCAATGTGCCAGCCCCAGTCCTTACTACTGTTTCTGATCCTGCTTCCTGAAAATGTAACCTCTGAGGCAGCAGAAGATGATGCAAAGCAGTGAGTCCCTGCCATTCACATGGGAGGGTGGAATTCAATGATGGGTTCCTGGTTTTAGCCTAGCCCAGCCCTGGCTGTTGAGGTCACCTGGGGAGTAAGCCATTACATAGCAGAATCTCCCCACCCCCTGGTCTTTTCTCTGCCTGTCTTTGTCAGGCTCTGTTACTGTGTTTCAAAAAAATGTTTAAAAAAAGGAAAAATAGAAGAAACTTTAACAAACCATTGGCAGTGAAAATGGAGGCCACTGGAGCCCATCACATTGAATGAAATAAGCCAACCCCAGGAAAACAAATGCTGTACGTTTTCTCCAATATATAAGAACTAAAATTTTTAAAACAATAACAAGGGCCCAGCGCGATGGTATAGTGGTTAAGGTCCTCGCCTTGCACACCTGGGATCCCATATGGGCGCCGCTTCTAATCCCGGCAGTCCCACTTCCCATCCAGCTCCCTGCCTGTGGCCCAGGAAAGCAGTTGAGGACGGCCCAAAGCTATGGGACCCTGCACCCGTGTGGGAGACCTGGAAGAGGTTCCGGGCTTCGAATTGGCTCAGTTCTGGCCATTGTGGCCACTTGGGAATGAACCAGTGGACAGAAGATCTTTCTTTTTCTCTTCTATGTAAATCTGATTTGCATTCCAATCAAAATAAATAAATCTTTTTTAAAAAGTAAAAACAAAACCTACAGCATACAAGAAATGAGTTATGCAGGTTATCTCTGATAAGAAGCTAATATGCAGGATAAACAAATGATTCTCAAAACTCATAAAAACAACAGCAAAAACTCACAAGAATTCAGTTCAAACATAAGCAAATCACTTGAACAGCCATTTCATCAAAGGAGATATAAGTGGCCAATCAACACACGAAAGGGGCTCACCATTATTAGTCATTGGGGAATGGGTAGGAAACTACCATGAGACACCACTGCACACTTCTCCCGGCAGCAGTGATGCGAAAGGCAGGAAGAGGGAGGAGGAAGAATGCAGGAGAGAGAAATAACACGTGCTGTGTTGACTTCAGTCTGCAGAAATTAAATCCCTTGTAAATTGCTGGTAGGGATACAGAATAATGCGGTAAAGATATCAAATTTGGTGTTTTCTTAAATGGTTTAATACTTTACCACCTAATTCCAGTTTTAAACATGCTTGTATAAAAAAGCTTTAAGCTCAAAGACTCAAGCACATATTTTTGGGGTAGGATTTCCTAAAGACTTTCTCAAATAACTAAATGTAGCAATGCTAACTGCCTATCAACAGACTTGGTGCTAAGCAAAATGTGGTGTATTCATTGATTGTGATTCACACTTAAAACTGAGTGAAAATTTGATATTTGCTTTTAAACTTCATTTTTAGTGAAATAATCCAGATACAGCTGGACAAATATTTCATGATTTTCTCTTTGTGATGTATTTAGAATATGAAAATTTATAGAACAACACAGAATGTTGACCACAAAATATGAAAACATTAATGCATAACAGACACACATGATTGTTGTTGTTGTTGGAGTTCATACAAAAGCTGCACGTGTTGCTAATGGGAATGGTGGTATAGCCCATTTTCAACTTACTTATTGCTATTGAATTATACATTCAGAAATGGTTAAAATGATACACATTTTGTGCATTTCATCACCACAAAACAAACAGAGGAAAATCTGGTGTACAATAAAGGAGAATGCGTACAAGACTTTTTGAAATATCCTCCCGAGGGATTGTGCTACTTATGACACTCACAGCAAGACCGACAAAATGCTAGCAGTTCCCAGTGCTTACTGCCTACTCCACATTGGCCACTGTGGTGGGGTCGCTACTTTGCGCAGAACTCTTTCCATTCCTTCCAGTACCACTAGTAGAAGCACAGACACTGTTACGTGATGTCTAAAGGCTTACTCTCTTCCAGGCTATGGAGAAAGTGCTGAAAATCTTTGCCTCCCGCAGAGAGCATCGCACCTCAGACAGCACGTTCTTGGTGTTCATGTCTCATGGCATTCTAAATGGAATCTGTGGAGTTGAACATCAGGAAGAAAAACCAGACGTGTTGCCTCATGACTCCATTTTCCAGATTTTTAATACCCTCAACTGTTCTCATCTGAAGGACAAACCCAAAGTCATTATCGTCCAGGCCTGCAGAGGTGGTGAGTTTCCAAGATGTCCAGAGATCAAAAGGGCATGTATCCTGCAGGCTGAGGCATGCACTCTGTCTTTTATACCTAGAGTCAGTGCCCTGGGCCTCACTTAAGTGCTATTAAACCAATTGGAAAAAGAGCTTTTAGGAGTACAAGAAACTGACATAAAACTTAAACATCACTCACTAGTGAAGCAGTAATTGGCAATGATGCTAATCTTCATTCTAAATTATCTTTACATTATATTGCTGAAACGGGCCCAGCACGATAACATAGCGGCTAAAGTCCTGGCCTTAAACGCACCAGGATCCCATATCGGCGCTAGTTCTAATCCCAGCGGCCGTTTCCCATCCGGCTCCCTGCTTGTAACCTAGGAAAGCAGTCGAGGACAGCCAAAGCTTTGGGACCCTACACCGGTGCAGGAGACCCAGAGGCTCCAGGCTCCTGGCTTCGAATTGGCTCAGCTCCAGCCATTGCGGCTGCTTGGAGAGTAAACCATCAGATAGAAGATCTTCCTCTCTGTCTCTCCTCCTTGTGTATATCCACCTTTCCAATAAAAATAATGAATAAAAACAAAAAAACAAAAAAGCATTATATTGCTGAAATGGTAACCTGAAAAGACTACAATTTCAGGGGGTGTGTGCTGGAATAGCAGGTTAAAAGACCACCACATGTCATATCAGAGTTCTCATTTAAGTTCTGCCTATTCTGCTTCTGATGCTTGTTAGCGGAAGCCACGGACGATGGAACAGGGGCTTGGGCCTGACACTCGGGAAGGAGAGCTGGACGAAGCTCCAGGAGTTTGGCTTTAGCCTTGCCTTGTCAGGGCCATTGCTGGCATTTGGGGAGTGAGCCAGCAAATCTAAATCTTCCTGTTTCTCCTTTCTTTGTCTCCCTGGCGGTTTCACACACATACTTCTCTCTTCTCTTTATCATTTAAATAGTTGGAAATCAACAACCAAACTACTAAAACAAGTATTTAATTTCAACAAGTCAAAGTTTCATGAAATCCAATTTGAAATCTATTTCACATGGTAGTTCATAAATTAATTTTAAATATATTGCCAGATAAGTAAAATTAGAGAGATAGGTAGATAGATAGATATTTGGCCAAAAGACTAAATGCATGACTCAGATTTTGTGGCATGTAGAAAGTGTCACAATTGCAAGGACAATGGCACCTTAAACATCTTCAAGGGCAAAGGCCAGATCATTCATTATTTTGATTGCAGTGCCATTTACATGACTGCATATGTTTGTCAAAACAAGGCAAATTTTACATGTAAATTGTATCCTGGTAGAACTGTAGTGGCGCTTCTTTTCCTGAACTTTTTAGTCTGAACTGTAATAGAATTAGTACTCAGAGAATGGTTTGAAAGAAATACCAAAAATAAATGAAAGAAAATAAAAATAGTGGTTTAAAGAAACTTAGGCCCATTATTTCAGGTGGCCAATCTTTCTTTCCTTGGCTTTGTACTGATGCTTGTCTATCAGTAAGTCTGAAATTGCTTGCTTCAGTAAAGCACTGTCAAAGTAGCTTTTAGCACTATTGCTTCTTGATCAATAGATATCTTTTATGTTCAGGACATTATGTTATGACATTTTTTTGGATGTGAGTGGTGATCCAGTTGTGTTAGGCCTATCGTGTGTGTATGTGTGTGTGTGTGTGTGTGTATGTGAGAGAGAGAGAGAGAGCTGGGACAACTTCATCAAAGAGTGTCCTATTTGTTTAGTTGTCAGAGGATTACAGCATGAGATTATCATTGAATAAGGACTATCACGTATTTCCTCTGCAGCAAACAGTGGAGAGGTATGGGTCAATGACTCTCACACAGGCTCCATTGCCAGCCCTTCCCAGATCCCAGAGAACCTGAAGCATGACGGAGTCCACAAGACTCACGTGGAGAAGGACTTCGTTGCCTTTTACTCCTCTACACCACGTATGTGTCTGTTTCGTGGGTTAGGGTTTGTGGGAATGAATCCTGCCTACATGATTTTGACTATAATTATTGGAAAACACATGAATTAAGTGTGTTTGAAAATGCTATTTAAAATTACATCCATGTTTCTGGAATCTTCTTTCAGAGCTTCATCATGGTAACCCAATCTCCTTTTGTCTCTACATTTATCCATATGTTCTTGATACATGATGGGTCAGTAGACAAACTTACTATGGTTTAAGAATTTACTACACATAATCATTTATTTTAGTACGGAGAAATGTCTTAAAAGAGAGAAAATGCAGCCTTTTCAAAAAGTATATTTTCTTATTTGGAGCCCAAGAAACACAGTTGTGCAATATTATTAAACATTCACTGAATAATGAATAGCACTTGACAAAGCAAAATTGTAACCTAGGTATAATAAAAGGTTTTGTAAGATCAGTTCCATATTCCTTCATATATAAAGTGATGTGATTTTAAAAAGAAAATAGTAGACATTTGGGAATTTTAAGCAGGGTGAAAAGCAGACAAGATCTCAAAAATATTTAGGCAAAAACTTATCTTTACTTAATATATACTATATCTTAGTACTTTCATGTACATATACACACACTTATACCATATATGTAGGTGTGTGTGTATATATATATATATATATATATGATTGCATTCTGATGCAATATTTATCACCTGTATGCTCAGAAGGCTTTACTGTCTCACTTTTCCAGATAAAGGAGCTAAAGTTACACGAACCATATAAATTGCATGCATGAATGCTGGCAGCATTGGCTAAGGAGCAATCCAACTTTTTGACTCTGCAATCTGAGTGAAAAAATAAAAATCAATCACAGGCTCTATTATCTAGGACTTTGTATCATCCAAAATGCAGAAACCTACTGGTTTTTGTGCCCAGGAAAGGCATACTGAAAAAACAGGACAAAGACAACAAAGCGGAGGGAGTCCCAGCTCATGAGCACTGTGGGTGTTGGAGCAGCCAGGTTAGCTTAGCGAGCACATGCAGTGCTGTGTGCAGCTGACCTGATGTTTGGGGTAGAGAATAAGCTTCTGAACTACACAACTGTGGGTTTCATAGCAACCCCATCACTACTTTGCTTTGATCAAATTTTAAAGATTAAGTGAAGAACATTCATTCATAAATATGGCTTGCCGTATTAATGAAAACTTCTCAGCCTTCTACTCTGAATCAAAGTGTTGTAAATCTGTAACTTTGTCCCCCAAACTGTGGTGCTAAAATCTTTACCTGACATCTTGTATGATCCAATCTAAGTCTATCTCATTGCTCTTTAGACATTAAGCCGGACATAGACAAATCTACATCTTCTGCACTTGCTTAAATCTGTCCAGTGTTGTTCACTATCTGACTTTGCTTAAAACCACGAAGATTATAGCTGAAGATGGATGATGTTTTTTATTCACAGATAATGTTTCCTGGAGAAAACCAGAGGGCTCATTATTCATCACAGAACTCATACAGCATGTCCAAACCTATGCTTGCGATTGTCACCTGACAGAAATATTTATGAAGGTAAGACCCACATTGCCCATTTCATGAATTCATTTAATGTGGAAGCTGAATGTCTGTGATAACCAACTTATAGGTTTTACAAAAGTGGCAGCAGAGCTTTTACACCACAGTGTTATGAAAATAAGACTATCAATGAGCCCACAGCCACTTGAGATAAAAGAAGTGATCTTTGTTTATCCCACATGGCATCAGCCAAGTCACTCCCAAAGGTCAGCATGACTGTGCCTGTCACAAGCTTACATAGAGCAAATGTACAGGGTTCTGTGCGGATGGGAGCCAGCAAACAGAGTCAGCTCTCAGCCCCGGGCTGTCAGAGCATTTTGACACACTTCTCAGCACTTTTTATCTGTTTACTCAGCATTTTTATCTTAGTGTCTGGCCCTAGCGCCCTTGTCCTTCTTGACTCAGAGCAAGCTTACCTCCCCAGGTCCGCACAACCTACAAGGGAGCCTATTCGTCTGTGAGGTCTACATGTAAGGTTAAATTTCTCCTTCATTAGCACTTCAACCCTTTCAATTACTTTCTTTATTTTTTTTTAAGATTTATCTATTTTTATTTGAAAGGCAGATATACAGAGAGGAGAGATAGATAGAACAATGTCTTCCATCCACTGGTTCTCTATCCAATGGCCTCAAACGCTGGGGTTAAGATGATCCGAAGCCAGGATCCAGGAACTTCCTGCGGGTCTCCCACACAGGTGCAGGGTCCCAAAGCTTTGGGCCATCCTTGACTGCTTTCCCGGGCCACAGGCAGGGAGCTGGACGGGAGGTGGAGGAGCCAAGATACGAACCAGCACCATATGGGATCCCAGTGCATGCTTCAAGGATTTAGCCACTAAACTACTGTGCCAGGCCCTAATTATTTTCAAAGTACTAAGCTTTGATAGACAAACAGTGTTAAAACATACTGAACTCCTCTGTAGTAAAACATTAAAACTTTTAGGACAAGGAAGAAAAACAAAGATAAATGAGGAATTTATATTCTATGATGATAATCTATGATATAGACTAACATTTATTTAAATACTAAGATTATGAGAAAATATCAATGTAAAACATTTCCACAGGTTCTTTTCGAACTTGAGTATAAATTATAATCAATGTGATTCAGTCAAGCAATATTTACAAGAAACTCATATAAAAGCCAGTATATGTTTCTTTCCTACATCGGAACAATAAAGGGATAGTGATGACTATTGCGGTGCTAATAATCTTTCTTAGTTTAGGTGTTGCTTATAAGCTTGATCAGAGGGCAAACATTTTATTAATTCGTACACATATAATGTAGGTTTCTTTGCTTATTAACTGTATTTCCATATTTTTCAAACATTAAATTTAAGTTAGAAAGAATAGTTAGAGCTTCCTGTTATATATCATGAAATAAAAATGAACAGACACAGCTTCTGCCTTCACAGACTGATGTCTAGAAACAAAAAGCAATAGTCAAAGGCAGAGGAGTCAGATGCGTCCTTTTCAATTTCTAGAAATCATAACGAGTTTCAATGAAAGAGGAAAAGCAGAAATTCTGTAAGGTGTGTTTATACAATGACTGGAAGCTTGGTAGAATAAGGCAATTTTTGTTTATTCCTGACTAGTATAAAAAAGTGTCTGTTGACTTATGGTAAAGGATTGATATATTCTGATGTAACAATTTATACTTAAAATATAGGTATCAGGATTTCTGTCTCTACCCCTGGTCAACAGGCTTTCACAGATGCTGGACTGATGCTCCTATCTAAAACACACAGACCAAATGCAGATAACATACATGCAGCCAGGGAGCTCAAGCAATGGAGGACACTGATCACTGAAAAGTGGGATGTCAATCATGTGGGGCTGTGCTAGCAGAATTTCCAGGGAGGCCAAAGCGAGTCAGGAGCCGGCAGACTCAGCAGGAGAGGAGACATAGCCGAGAGCATAAAGAACAAGGGGCTGAGTCCACAGCATACGCACCAAGGGGGAAGCTGCACAGATGCCTTGAGAGCTCCAGGAGAGCTGCAAGCATTTAAGCGCAGTCTGAGTTAGCATGCCTACAAGGTAACTGCTTGTAGCAGAGAAAAGTGGTGACTGCAGGGATGACAACCAGCAATGCCACAGTATTCATCTGGAGCTTCAAGGTGTTCTAATGCCCGCTTGAAAGCCTGGGAAACCAGTCTCACATTTTCCATGCAGAGAAGTTGTAGAGTCCTGGTAAAATCAAGTGGAAGAAATATCTCCTGGATAAACAACTCTTTGATCCTAACGAATCATAAGGGCAACCCCACGTGATCGCATTTTCCCAAATAACAAAATGAAAATTAACAAAATTGTGGAAAAAAATATGTATATACACACATAAGAGTACCTTAATATGTTCTTGGAAAAGTATGAATTAAAAGGTAATTTTCTTTTATTGCAAAAAAGTTTGAGATCCATGCATGTTTTAGTAATATTAATATAAAGAGAGCAAATTTCATGTATTTCATAGATACATCCTTGTGACCCTGCACCCATGGGGAAGACCTGGAAGAAACCTCTGGCTCCTGGCTTAGGCTCAGCTCCAGCCACTGTGGCCATCTGGGGACTGAACAACTGGATGGAAGATCTTTCCTCTTTGTTACTCCTCTTCTCCTTAATTCTGACCTGCCTCTCCAATAAAAATCAAAGCTTTAAAAAAAACTTCACACCTTTATTTTAATGTGATGACTTCTGTAAAACCTTTTTATTTTTTCAAAGATTTAAAAATTTCCTTTGGAAATCAGATTTAAGGCAAGAGACGCAAAGACAGAGATCTTCCATCCATTGGTTCGCTTCTCAGGTGGCAGCGATGAGCAGTGCTGGACCGGATCGCTGGCAGGCACCTGGGGCTTTATCAGGCTTGTGCATATTAGTGTCTGTGCTGCGGCTGTTTGACCCATCTGCTGCTTCCAGGCCGTTAGCAGTAGCTGATTTTGGAAGTAGAGAGGCTGAAACATGAACTGCATTGCAGGTGGACATTGTACCCAGTGCACCAAAGCGCTGGCCTCATAATGTTTTATTTCTAAGTTAAATTACAATTTGAGGTAATACAGGTTATGGTTTCTATGCTAATTTGGAAAATATACAACTAAATTTATAATACTGAGATCGTGGATTCCCTTGAGATTTACTGGGAGCTGCAGTTTGGGTTCTGATTTAGGTATTGAGTTATGGGTGTCGGTGGTACACTGTAAGCATAAGCACAAAGTCAGATCCCTCTCAGCACTGTTGTGTTTCCTTCACATCTCCACAACTTTCAAGCTCAGTCATCATTATGCTTATTCATAGTACAGTACAGTCTCAATTTCTGTGCAATCGGTAGGACTGAAAATTCTTTTTAATTTTAGGTTCAACGATCATTTGAAAAACCAAGTGTTAAAGCCCAAATGCCATCAATTGACCGACAAACATTCACCAGATTCTTTTATCTTTTCCCGGGAAACTAAACATTGGTGAGTGTCTAACCCAGTTGGTAACAGATGAGTCAGGGAGATAGAGTAGAAGACAAGTTGGCAATGTTATGCCCAATGGGATGTCACAGTATTTTGTGTTTATTTTTTCATTCTCTCATTCTTCTTGCAATCACCAACTTGATTTTGGACTAATGCTGGTGCTATCTTTCTGGGATAAAAAAAAAACTAAGACCTTGACAACAATTTTGAAACAACTGTTTTCAGATATTACACAGGGGAAATAGAGGGATTGCTTTTTACTGAGAAAAGGGAGGTGAGTGGGCTGGTGCAGTGGCATAGCAAGCTAATCCTCTGCCTCTACAGCCAGCATCCCCTTAGGTGCCAGTTCCTGTCCTTGCTGCTCCACTTCCTATCCAGCTCTCTACGTATGGCCTGGGAAAGCAGCAGAAGACAACCCAAGTCCTTGGCCATTGCACCCATGCGGGAGATCCAGAAGAAATTCATGGCTCCTTGCTATTGTGCCATTGAAGTAGTGAACCAACAGAAAGAATTCTCCCTCCATGCCACCCATTCCAGTGTGTGTGTGTGTGTGTGTGTGTGTGTGTGTGAAACTTCAACTTACAAGTGAAAAACACTGGGCTACCCAGTGCGGTAGCCTAGTGACTGAAGTCCTCGCCTGGCATGCGGCAGGATCCATTATGGGCAACAGATTTAATCCCAACTGCTGCACTTCCCATCCAACTCCTTGCTTGTGGCCTGAGAAAGCAGTTGAAGATGGCCCAAAGCCTTGGGACCCTACACCCATGTGGGAGACCTGGAAGAAGCTCCTGGCATAGGATCGGCTCAGCTCCAGCCATTGTGGCCACATGAGGAATGAATCAACAGAAAGATCTGTCTCTCCTTCTCTCTGGATATCTGATTTTCCAATAAAGAAATAAATAAATCTTTTTTAAAAAATCTTTACAGAAAAAAAGAGGGAATGGGGGGAGTATCACCTACATCATACATATATTGATGACAGGATAAAAGTCCCTGGTGCACAGTTCAGGAAGTGGTAACAGTGGCAAAGTATGACAGTTGCCTTGAGTTGAGGAGACACAGATGACAATTCAAGGATGTTGAGGAAGCTGGTGTGTCAAAACCTGAATTACAGTGGTGAAGGGAAAAAACAGACACAGAGAGCTACAGTGTGTATCATTTAGTCCTGTGTTATCAATCTGCACATCCATAGGATGAATGGGAATCCCTGAAAAGCAGCTCTGGTAATGAACTGTTAAGATGAACAATCCAGAATTCACACAACATTGGGGAATGGTTGCTTCTTTTTTAAGATTTATCTATTTTTATTGGAAAATCAGATGCAAATAGAGAAGAAGAGACAGAAAGGAAGATCTTCTGTCAGATGAATCACTCTCCAAGTGACAGCAACGGTTGAAGCTATGCCGGTCCAAAGCCAGGAGCCAGGAACCTCCCCCGGGTCGTCCACATGGGTGCTGGGTCCCAAGTCTTTGGCCATCCTCGACTGCTTTCCCAGGCCACAAACAGGGAGCAGGATAAGAATCAGGGCCACTGGGATTAGAACCAGCTCCCATATGGGATCCTGGCATGTTCAACATAAGGACTTCAGACACTGGGCCACCACGGCGGGCCCGGAAATGGTTGAATTTTAACAAGGAAGAGTGAAAGGGCCTTTGGAATAATTACTATGGATCCAAGAGATTCTGCCATAAAAGATAAACAGATATAGCTGGAATATAATGTGCTAGATCTTCACTAATTACAGTTAAGAAAACAGAATAATAGAAGCAATTGCCAAGTAAACTTCAGCATCTAACAAAATTGGCATCTCATCAAAAATATTACATATGTAAACTGTCTTGCAAGCTATAAAAATTGACCATCTGTTTATTGTCAAGTTGTTATCTAATAATGTCCCAAATGCTATGTGTACTACAAGCAGTGGTTAAATTTTAAGACAAAGATTTTAAATTCCTATTGAATTTATTCTTAATGGTATTAAGAAAATCATGGAAGTAAAAAGAGAGAGATTGAAAAATATTAGAAACAAGACTCCAAATTGAATTTCAAGGACTAGAAAGATAATTTAAGTTAAAAGAAAAAACTCATTTGATCAAGTTAACTGCAAGTCATAGACCACAAATGGAAAAAAGTAAATTGTTTTAGAAACAGAAACTATCAACAATGTAGTGTTAAAGGAAGCAAGGCAAAACAGACACAGAATATCAGCATGTTGCTTGACATAATAAATGATAGAAAAGTAACCATGTACTTGTGTCAGCAGAAGAAAAGAAGTGGGCATAAAAAATGCTCAAAAAATAACAGCCAACAGTTTTTCCAAAATCGATAGACTGTGAACCCACAGAATCACGAAAATCAGTAAACCGCAGGCAGAATGAATCCACAGAAAGAAGCAATAGAAAACGCTCACAATCAGTGATAGAAATAATTGTTTTTATAAGAACAGACATTTGGCACTCTGTATTTAATTTGAAACGATCCAAAAACATCACACCGCTTGTCATATATACAGAACACATATAGACATCTATAGCAAAAATATTTTGAAACAATAATTTTAAAGTGTCAAAAAAAGTGTCAAAATGAATATTATTTCCAGAAAACAAATGTCATTTGAAATAAAAGGGGAATAAAATTGTAAGATGAAACCAAGAAATGAAAATATTTACCAGACATTAGGTCATAATCACAACTTTATTTCACTCCTTTACATTTTCATTTGTGAGAGAGAGGTAGAGAGAGAGATGAAGGTTTTCCATTCAGTAGTTTGTTCTACAATGCCAGCCAATAGCCTAAGTAGGCTGAAATCAGAAAGTTGAAACTCAATCTGAATTTCCTATGTACACGACAGGGACCTGCTGTTTCCCAGGGTTCTCATTGGCAAGAAAGAAACTGGAAGTGTAGTACTCCCTACTTGAACACAGGATTTGGGCAACCCAAGATATTCCAGATACCTACACCAGAAATACAATGTTTGCAATACATGAATATTGTAACATGAAAAAAGATAAAGAAAAAATTTAGGTGCAAGAAAAATGGCACAAAAAGAATATTCAGATATACAAAATATCAAGAAATATTCATTTAACTTTTTTCTAATTAAAATTTCTTTAAAAGACACATGTTCAACATAAACATATATAAATGCGTTACTAGTGTAAAATGTATTGATAAACTGTATGATAATAAAAAGATAACACAAGAAATAGAAACAAATTTTAACCTACTTACATTATATGCTATGCATTATATATAAAGTAGAATAATATTCGAAAATAGAATATCATAAATATTTATATTGTAACATTACAGAAACTTCTAAAATTAGTAGAAGAACTAATAGGATAGGAAAGAAGATGCAGATATTATAAATACATACTCAACCAATTAAAAACAAAGTAGAAAAAAGGACCAGATGTCAAAGTGCCAGTACCAGGGCACCAGCACTATGGCACAGGAAGTTAAAACACCACCTGCGGCATCTCCATCCCATCTGAGCACCGGTTTCAGTTCTACCTTCTCCACTTCTAATCCAACTCTTAGCTAATGTTTCTGGGAAGGTTACTGAAGACTGACCAAGTGCACGGGCTCCTGCCACGCACATGGGAGACCTGGATGGAGTTCCAGGCTCCTGGTGCCTCCCCCGCTGCCAAGCTACTTGGGGAGTGGACCAATAGGTGGAAGATCTTTGTGTCTTCTCCCTCTATAACATGTTAGATTTAAATTCAAACATGTTAATTACAATTTAAATTTATAAACCAAAATTATAACTGTGTATATTTTAAGTATTCTGAATAAAGACAGATCGAGTTTAAAAAAAAAAAAACTATACACAATTATATGCTATCCAAAAGACACACACATTAAAGGTAAAGATACAGTTTTATTTAGCTAAATTGGCAGGAAGGCACACTGTAAAAACTGCTTGAATGGCCTCGTGTGAGTAGCCTATCAACTTAAGTCCTCAACTTGCAAGCACTGGGATCCCATATGGGTGCTGGTTCTAATCCCGGAAGCCTCGCTTCCCACCCAACTTCCTGCTTGTGGCCTGGGAAAGCAGTCAAGGATGGCCCAAAGCCTTGGGACTCTGCACCTGTGTAGGAGACCCAGAAGAGAATCCAGGCTCTTGGCTTCAGATTGGCTCAGTTTCAGCCATTGTGGCAAGACAGAAGATTTTGCAATCTGTCTGCTTCTCTCTGTACATCTGTCCACTAAAAATAATAAATTTTAAAAACTGCTTAGAAATGACACTGAGTTTTGCACCTACACTGAGTGTAAATTTTCTTGCATATTTGCAAAGTATCCCACAGTAATGTGAAGCAAATCAAAAGGCATTTTCCAAAGCATAAGAAGTAAATATGAATGGCATATTAACAATCAGCTAGTTATCAAGTCTCATGTGATAATTAAAAAAATTCCTTTGGATGTTTTTCAGTAATGACTGTTTGGTTGATTATTATTTGTTTATGATCATGAGAGCCACCAAGAATCATTATAGCCACTTTCAAATACTCTCACTGTGCAGCTCATAGGCTATTGAATTCTACATAGAATTTATATAAGTCACTCAAGTACTGAAGCCAACACATTTAATTTTTTCTGGTCTAAACTGTCCCAAATGCATTTGATAAATTGAATCAAACAGTCACTTATTTATAACAACAATGTATATTATATTGAGCAAAAGAGGCATTTTAGTTTGTGTGAATATATAACATTACATTTCAAAATGATGTTATAAATTAAATTCAATGATTACATCTACCCAAATTGTTATTTTTATTTCTACTACACAAATGACTTAAACATAGATATGGTCAGTTCCAGACAATAAACTGCATTCTTCTTTTGAAGATATTTAAACTTTCAAGGCTTAGAATTGTGTAATCACAAGCTTATGGTTATCAACCACTGCAGACTCCTCCTTGAATTCTTGGTCATTCTTGAACTATGAGAGCTGTGTTTGGGGATGGTAAACTCCCCTAATAATGCTG